CACACACACACACACCGTCAACCATTCTAATCTACTCAGGACCAACTTCCAACCACCGGTAGACCCTGGCAAGGTTCATGGTATATTTTATTTACATAATCAGGTCAAAGGTAAAGATTATTTTACCTAATCCCACTTAATGGAAGTCTCTTTGACTTTTTTCCTTCTGATACTCCCCAGACTCTTGAGATTTCAACAGCCCCCTCTAGGCTATAAGGTTAGACCTCGACCAACTGAAGCCAGCAATTAATTAGAAGTGAACCCAAGGCAGGTGGCTACTAGGGATACACATGGTGTGTGCAGAAGGCAAGACCTACAGGATGTGACACACAGGACATCATGTGACTTGTTCAGAAAGAGAAAGGAGGGGCCAAAGGTTAATTGTTTGTCACAATTGAAACATGTGCAGGAATTTGAGATTCCTACCCTTTGAAGATCCTCACACCCCCGAATTCCTTGTTCACGTCTGCTGCTCACCTTTCTGCCTAAGACGTGACTTGTTTTATTCGGTGGTTTGTCTTTTCCCATTCGGATGTAGATTCGGAAAGGATAGGAATTTTTGTCTGTTTTGTTTACTGCTGTACCTTCCAGCACCTCAAACATTGCCAGGCAGATAGTAGAGACTCAAATATCTGTTGACCAAATAAAGGAGGTTTATATTACACTTTCAGGAGAAAGATGGGGCTTTCTACTCCTATAAGCAGTTACAGTCTCAAAAACTCACAGGGCAGTTCTACCCTGTGCTATAGCATCACGGTGAGTCAGCAATGACTCCATGGAAGTGAGTGAGATTACACTTGTACTAGAGCTTACATTCTGAGCACCCTGGTTTGCAAAAAGCAATGGATGGCAGTGACAGCCCAAAACCCATTTGCCGAGTCCCCACATAGAGTAAGCCTCCACGGAATGCTTTCTGGTCTTTAACAAACATGTAGCTTATCTTGCCCTCAGGCAGAATGCCTTGGACTCAGGATTACCTCCTCCATCTCTGGCCAGCCCTAAGATGGACATTCTTTCTCTTGGTGGCTTGCCTAGGTGTGTCCTGGATGGAGGTCACTGTATTGGGCCTTTGTCTCTTTTAAGGGCTTCCAGAAAAGACCCACTGAAAATCATTCTGTCCAGAAGTGACCAGCAAACACTGACATCTATCCCAATAAAATCGAGGTTATCAAAGAAAAAAAAAATCGAGGTTATCGAGATCAGTATTAGTACATGAGCCTCCCCTGTGCCTTGTGGAAGCTTTCTCACATTGAGAAACCACCATCTTGTCCAACCAGTAAGCTGGGGCTTCCGTTGCAATTTGGAGTTCTCGTTCCACATTTTCCTCCCACTCTAAAGACTTCCTAATCAGATCCCTGTCTGAACAATTGGTAGTGGTAGCCAGGCATCATCTACTTCCGAACTCAGGGCTGGGAAGGCTGAGGCTCACGTGGTCCATCAGTCCATTGGACGAGTTTCTGTGAGTCTTCGGCTGATTTTCTTTACTCTTCTTTCTTCAGGATGGAGAAACAATACCAATTACACGATACCAATTACAAGTGGATTTCAGAATTAGTCACAGCTTCAAAAGCGACCCCTGTAAATGAGTAACGTGATTTTGGTTTTGTTTGATTGTTGTTGCTTTGATTTCCTTCTCAAGTATCCAGGTCCATCAAAACAAAGGAAGAGCATTCAAAATGCCAACTAGTGAGGATGCTAGTTACAGCCTGACAGCAGTGTGTCACTCTAAA